CCAAAATTAGAGAATTGAAGATATCATCATGAAATGAACAAATCTAAGAGAGGTCTACCCAAGGTACATAAACACCAAGTATCAAAGCATTCAGGCTTGTAGTTTTCAAGAAGAAGTCGAAAAAGTAAAACATTGACACGGATGACGACGGACAATCACTCATATGATAAGCTCCGCTCGACAAAGTAGACAGCGGAGCTAAAAATTATATACATATAGCTGTGAAAAACTGATATTATATTAATTTTTTAATGCAAGTCAAATTTTTGCTACATTGTACAGCAGCAAAATGAATCAGAAACAAACAAAATGTCTCACCTGAGCCCAGTTTGAAAACACTTGCCCATTTCCACCATAAGTAACAAGTTCATGTGGGAACTGTATTGAGAAAACGATCAATACTTAGTGACACATTTCACATATGACATACTTATTTAGTGACACATTTCACATGTGACCTCACATTTAGTGACACATTTCACATGTGACACCTATTTAGTGACATATTTCACATATGACAATTATTTAATGACATATTTCACATGTGACACTTATTTAGTGACACATTTCACATGTGACATACATATTTAGTGACAGATTTTACATGTGACATACTTACTTAGTAGCATATTTCACATATGACAGTTATTTAGTGACACATTTCACATGTGACCTCATACTTAGTGACACATTTCACATGTGACATACTTATTTATTGGCATATTTCACATGTGACATACATATTTAGTGACACATTTTACATGTGAAATACTTATTTAGTAGCATATTTCACATGACACTTATTTAGTGACACATTTCACATGTGACCTCATACTTAGTGACACATTTCACATGACATACTTATTTAGTAACATATTTCACATGACAGTTATTTAGTGACATATTTCACATATAACATACTTTAGTGACACATTCACATATGACATACTTATATGGTAACATATTTCACATGTGACACTTATTTAGTGACATATTTCACATGTGACACCTATTTAGTGACATATTTCAAATATGACACTTATTTAGTGACACTTATTTAGTGACATATTTCACATGCGACATACTCATTTAGTAGCACATTTCACATATGACAGTTATTTAATGACATATTTTACAAGTGACATACTTATTTAGTAGCATATTTCACATGACACTTATTTAGTGACACATTTCACATATGACGTACTTATTTAGTAACATATTTTACATGACACTTATTTAGTGACACATTCACATATGACACTTATTTAGTAACATACTCATTTAGTAGCACATTTCACATATGACAGTTATTTAATGACATATTTTACAAGTGACATACTTATTTAGTAGCATATTTCACATGACACTTATTTAGTGACACATTTCACATATGACGTACTTATTTAGTAACATATTTTACATGACACTTATTTAGTGACACATTCACATATGACACTTATTTAGTAACATTTCACATGTGACACCTATTTAGTGACATATTTCACGTATGACACTTATTTAGTTACATATTTCACATATGACATACTTATTTAGTGACATGTTTCACATGTGACACTTATTTAGTGACATATTTCACATGTGGCACTTATTTAGTGACATATTTCACATGTGACACTTATTTAGTGACATATTTCACATGTGACACTTATTTAGTGACATATTTCACATATGACACTTATTTTGTGACATATTTCACATGTGACATACTTATTTAGTGACATATTTCACATGTGACATACTTATATAGTGACACATCAGTAAAAACAGAATATATTTCAGTTACTTTGTCAATCACTGAGACAACACAAAATTTATTCTTACCTGAGCTACCCTGGGATCCAAGTTATTCATTATCATATGCATGATTGCACCAGCTTGTCTTGTCTCACATGGATAGTCATCTATAGGATAGGCCCTGAAATCAGCATAACATATTGGAAATCAACCTCATTTAAAACAACGACCTTTGACCTGAAAGGTCAAGTCTATTATTAACCTATCAGAACTTTGCTGTTGTAAATAAACAGTGGGTTTATTCCAAGGGAGGAGCATAGGACCGAGGAATTATGGTAGTTATAAGATAGAGTTTTCACAAGTTATAAGGGAAAGAGTCCCCAATTTAGCTATACCTTTTGATAACTATAAGTGTCCTTTGGAGGGGCAGGGGTGGGGGCGCTGGAGGGTAGGGTTGGGGGTACAAACACAACTCTTTCTCTTACTTATGGTTCTTAAAAGTTGATTAGGAATTATTGATAAATATTTGTTATTTTAGAAAATAACGCTTTAACATTAACTATAGAAATATTTCCAAAATAGTAGTAGTAGCTCATAAACAGTTTTCCTCCAAAAATATTTTGTACTGGGTAATAAAGCCCAAAAGCTGATGACATATGTCCAAATCAACGATTATGAGATACTTAATATTTCAAATAGGTTGAAGACAAGGACCTGAATGCCAATATCATTCTTAAATTACACTAAGAAGTAATATTAGTGGTTATGCTCTAAAACAAGAAACACTTACCTCATGTCTATGTCAGGTCTAAAACGATACATATAAATATGACCGTATTGTCGGAGCTCTTCAGCAAATTCTGGAGCCAAGGTCTGATGCATGGTGGGTGGAAAATACCGCAATGCATTCTCAAGCGCCAACTAGAAGAACCAGGATAAAATTTTAGTAGCATAAGTACTGGGAGATTTATTTATTAACATCTGTACCAATGAGACAATTTGGTAATAAGTTGGAAATTCGTGGGAAATATTGTTACTAGTCTAAATGGTACACTGAATGCTAAATAGAGGAACACGTCCAATAAATGAGTTTTTACCACGTTGTAAATCAAAACAACCTTATCACCCCATCCACAGTCCCTCTCATGATAGAGGGACTGTGCCCCATCATTGGCCAATCAGGTTTCGTCAAATGGTCACACCTCTCAATTACCTTGTATGACCACGAACAAGAGTTATGCGACTCGTAATCACGTATAGCATAACGTAACTAGCTATTGTTTCAAAACAACGATTTAACGTATTGTGAAACGTGTTTTCTGAACTTTGAGATATATATAAACTTGGGGGTTTCCCGTTGCTGTGTGATCGACGGCTGATCAAACCCGAAAGGGAAACTATAAAACGGATTTACATCAACGAGTTGAATCATGAAGGTACTTACTCTCTGTTCCGCGTCGGACAACGTATGTGTTCTGACTGGTGCATGGGGCACAGAAATATCTCTTTTACGCAGTGGCGGCAACTCAGACAGTGGCCACTCACACAAGCCTTTCAAGGAAGACATGATTATAAGGTCATATGGCCCCCTAGCTTCGCATTACCTTTAATGTAGAGGGCGCTGTTCAGAAAAACATGAACACATGACTAGGATAATTCCATTAAAAACTTTGGAATTATTGTATTAACACATATTTTTAACTTGCACACACCCCAAATTACTGGGTTATAACTTACAAACACTCCCAAATTACTGGGTTATAACATGCAAACACTCCCAAATTAGTGGGTTATAACTTGCAAACACTCCCAAATTAGTGGGTTATAACTTGCAAACACTCCCAAATTAGTGGGTTATAACTTGCAAACACTCCCAAATTACTGGGTTATAACTTACAAACA